CCAAGTAGGATTTCAACACAGGGGCTTACAAGAAAATATAAGTATTGTAGAGGAAGTCACTGTGTTTCATCTAATGAGTTTCATTTCAGCAAGTCTACAAGCATTAAACAGACCAGCGTTAAAAAGAATGAGCACCTCTGGGTTTTTTTTTTGGTTTTTTGTGGTCTGCAATACTGTGAAAATGTATGCCCACTTCCTGGTTTCTTAGGTTTATGCATATTTCTCACACTTGTGTTATTTAAGATCCTCAAATAAATTTTAGTAATAGACAAAGACAAACACTTAATACAATTTTTCAATGTTGAGCTATTTAATTAAAGGAAAAATCTATCCAAACCAACCTGAAATATGTGACAGTAATCGTACTGTGCAAGAATTGTTTTAATTCAGCCACGTTGAAATGATTTTTGGTTATGAAGGTCCTGTTAAGATCATGCCAAAACTTCTTAATCTAATTTAAGTCCAGATTTTGATTAAGCCATTCCAAAACCTTTTTGTTTTGTTCTTTTTAAAACTGATGGCCAGAAATAATCTTTCAGGATTTTCAGGCAGAGAGCAGAATTCATGGTTTCATCAATTACAGCAACTTACTGAGATCCTGAAGCAGCAAAGCAGCCTCAGACCATCACACTACCACCACCATGTTTGACTGGTGGGAAGATGTTCCTTTGATGAAATGCTGTTAATTTTACACCAGATGTAACAAGATGCAAAACTTTCAGATAGCCCAGTTTTTGTCTCGTCAGTCCACAGAATATCCCAAAGTCTTGAGGATCAACAAGATGGGTTTTTTTGGCAAATATGAGACGAACCTTTGATGTTTTTTCTCAGCTGTGATTTTCTCCTTGAAACCCTCCCATAGATGCCATTTTGTTTATTGTTGAATTGTGAACTCTGACCTAACTGAGCCCAGTGAGGAATAATTTTAGTAGGTTGACCACTCCTGGGACGATGCACTGCTGTTCCAGGTCTTTCCCATTTGTGCATAATGGCTCTCACCGTAGTTCTCTGGAGTCCAGAACCTTAGAAATGGCTTTGGAACCCGTTCCAGACTGATAGACTTCAGTCTCTTTCTGTCTCATTTGTTTCTTTAGATTGTGGCATGATGTGTTGATTTTTTCAATCTTTGAGCCTATCTCACTTTGTCAGACAGCTTTTGTTTAAGTGATTACTCTATTCAACAGGTCTGACAGGTGCGCATCAGTCATTTATGTTGCACACTGTCCTGCCATTGTTGGATAAAACTGCTTGTAACTCAGACGTATTGGTATGAGATTCACCCGTAGCAATAGGGTGAAGGTCATCGTTATTGTTACTGATTAAAGTTGTCTCATTTTTTCTGGGAAATGACTCGGCTGGTGGGAGAGTTTTCCCTGTGTCAAGTGTGTTCCCTATTTGTGTGGTTACTCTTGAGCAATCGTGTAAATTTGATGATGTTGTTGATTTTGCTGAAACATTTATGGCTATGTGCTCAGTGAAAAGATTCCCAAAAGCTGCCCCATTATGTACACTACAAGCCAAAACTGTTATAAAGGACCTGATTAAGTTGTTTTCTACCTTTGGGCTCCCAAAAATCTGACCAAGGAATAACTTTAAGTCAAAAGTGTTTGCGCAAGTTATAGATGAGCTACAGGTTAAACATGAAAAACCCAGTCCGTACCACCCGGGGAGTCAGGGTGTCCTGGAAAGATTTCACCAAACCCTGAAAACTATGCTGCGCAAGTGCTGCCTGCAGTATGGCAGACAGTGGGATGAGGGTGTGCCATTATTGATGTGTGACATTAGGGAAGCCACTCAAGAATCCTTGTGGTTCAGTCCGTCAGATCTAGTGTTTGGTTATGTGGTCTGATGCCTCCTTTGGCTCCTTAAGGAGAAATGGTTGTCAGAAACTTCTGAAACTCAACATAATGTTCTCGATTAGGTTAGCAGTCTTCGCGAGAGACTCCACTTTGCATGTCAGTTAGCACAGGAAAATATGACGCATGCACAGACTAAGATAAAGGCTCATTATGATGAAAACAAAAAAAAGTGTCCAGCCTGGAGAGAAAGTGTTGGTGTTGTTATCTATGGTAAGATCCAGCTTGCAAGCCAAGTTCACTGGTCCATGTCTAGTAGAAACAAAAACCAGTGACAATATTTATGTGATCCAAACCCCACATAGACAGAGAAAGTCAGGGGTTTGCCACATGTTGAAATCATATTACTCAAGAAACCACTTGGTTGTGTCAGTCCCTGTGTGCACCACTAGTGTCATGATGCGCTGAAAACATCTGAGATCTTAAATAATCCAGAAACCAAACCAACTTTAGATACACTTTCTCATTCAATGTATTTTCTTTATTTTACTACTTTCTACATTGTAGATACATACTGAAGACATAAAGTTTATGCATAAGTTCAGTAAGGAAACACAAGGACTCATTTTAGGACAGATCGAGATCGGGCCTTTTGGGGTAGTGGCTCAAAAAAGAAAAGAAAGGAAAAGAAAAGAAAAACTTAGCTTGGTTTTTATGATTTAGAGGTAACTTTAAAAAAAACACAAAACAGCCAAAGACGTTCCTGTTCAGATGGACATTTGATTTAATTATGTATCTGACCCTGTGTTGTTCACAAATCTGTTTCATTGTTTAGATGTATTTCTTTTTTCTTTTAGAATCAGGCACCCTGTCTTTTAAAGTTGCTTGCTTTTTCTAATAAAACATAAAATTCTTGTTATTTTTGTTTAAAATCGTTTATTTGTTTTATGTTTATCAGGAATTCAAACAAAGACGCAGGGGAAACCTGACCAAAGCAGACTTGAGGGACAAAAATATTTGCAGTGGCGTTTTTACCATTAACGCATTCTTTATGATACCCATGAATTCATCCGTGGATATGAATGTGTGCAGTTCTCAAATCTCCCTGCTTATTAAACAAAAGAAACATTTGTGGATTTCTATCTGGGTGGAAGCTTTTGCAGAGGTTTTAACAGGGTTGTCTCCATATCTTGTAAAAGTTCAGCTTTCAGACTCATTTTAATCACTTGTTCTTGCTTTTGCACTCACGAAGACATAATCACATGTGGATTTGGAGAGTCTTTGTCTGTACCTGGAGCCTGAGTAGCAGAAGAAAAGCATTCCCAGTAAATACATCTGGGAATACGCCCATGAAAGTAACCTCAGTGAACATGTGCCAGCAACCCGTGAGAACAGTCAATCTTACCTGTCATACCACCCTGTGGTAATCGGCCTTAAACTGGCAAAAAGAAAAAGACTTGAAAACCACTGTTTGGATAGCAGCTTTGGTAATATTTTGATAATATTATTATGTAATATTAGCAATAAATTCTTACTTGTTGTAAATACAGAAGTCTTAATTAAAGTCTTGTAGAGCTTTTGAGTCTTTTGCACTAACTGTGACACTCCCCTTTAGTCTATAGCTGTGAAGTCAGAGCCAGCAGCTACTTGTCTCCCATCAAGGACCAGAGGTTGATCCACAATGTGCACGTGCAAAGCAAGCAGAAAAAAAACCTGCTTGCATCTCAGCTTGAAAAGCTTAAGCCTTTGTTGACGGGACGCCCTGTGGATCTCAGTAGGGTCAAAGACAAGCCTGCTTCCTGTGACTATAGCCAACTGCAGCCACAAGATGGTAGTAAAGTAAAGGCTGATTGCAAGCAGGCAGGGAGTTTATGACAGACTGATGGAAGAGGATGCTTCCACCAGGCAAGCACTAGTGAAATCTGAAGCACACATTAATTGTTTTTCCTGGAGTGGATTTCCCAATGAATTCACCCCAAGGTCTGTGGGTGGGTCTGTGCAATGCTCAGAGAAACTGCAAAGAAAGCAAGCACTAACGGTTAGAAAAAGTAGCATGACCTGTGTTAAATGGTTGCCAGGGTCTCTTCTATGTAAAATGAACGTGACAGCATGGCTCAGGTTTGCAAAGTTGCATCTTTAACAAAGCATGTTGTTGAAGGGGTGATGACTTGGGTTTGGTTGTTCTGAGTCGACCATGAACTCTTCTGTATACTAAAGTATTCTAGAGTCAAATGTGAGGCCATGTGTCTGACTGTTAAAGCTCGTCTGAAATGATATCATGCAGTAGGAAGAATGTATAACAGAATGACTTAAAAAGAAAACAGTGCTACTGGAATGAGCCAGTAAAAGTTCAGACCTCAAGCTTATCAAAATGCTTAGTGGGAAATTCAGACTGCCGTACATAAACAAATGTCTACAAACCTCTGACAAAAAACAGTGGGCCAAAATCTCTCCACAACAATGTCCAATACTGATAAAGTCATACAGGAAACAATTAATTCAAGTTAGTGTTTTAAAAGGTGGCTTGATGAGCTGCTGAATTATGCAGGGAGCTTAGTTTCTGCTAAATACTCAGAGGGCTGTGAAAACTTCGCACGATAAACATCAGTCTGCAGTAGTCTGTGGTTAACACCAAATATCTGTTTTTCTACTGCTGGGGGGCGTTCTAAGTGTTCTAAAAATGGCCCTCCAGCCTCTGTTGACAATCTCCTGGCCTACTTTGACATGATTTGTGCACACTGCATAAACATACATAGTCTATATCACCCAGAGACAATACTTAAGAAATGTTTGATGAATAACAGTCCCATTTTCATTCAGATCACACACATTTATAGTGACCTGAGGAGCTGAGGAATTTGATCATTAAATAAAAGCTCTTTATTTTTTGCAGAAAAGCATATTATGTATTTGTTTGTCAGGTGTCTTTGTCCTGTTGCATCTTTCCCCCCTTTGAGCAACTGCAAGCTCCTAAAACATATGAGGCTGTGACAATACCCTGCCTGAAAACCAGAGAAGTTTAAAATGCTAAATTGGTTAAAGGTGGCTTTAATGCTCTGCCAGTGATAATGAATGCACGGTGCTTATATTTTCATTGTCACTCACTGTTACCACTACGTCACGTGTTGCTTTCAAGAAGTGTGTCAGGCGGTGTGGGTAAAAACATGCACACATTTCCTGTTGAATAGTTAGACTTCAACTCAACCTGGAGTGACACTCACTGTCATCATGTCTGCTGTCTGCCTCTTCATTCTCATCCTTTGTCTCTATGGCACAGCTAGGACTGCTGCAGGTGAGGCTGAGACAGGTGTGTTACAGTAAATGATGTAAGGAGGAAGAGTTCATTCATGTTGATCAAACTGTATTGTGAGATATGATTGTAAGTATTGTCTTTTTTTATGCAGATGGTTATGCAGTGATACGGAGAAAAGTTGGACAGCAAGTCACCATCCAGTGCAGAAGTGCTTCTAATCAGGAGATGCTGTATTTGAAGAGAGGCCTCAATGAGGAGGAGGACATTTTTTATTTGACAGATTCACAAAAATCTACTATTAATCAAAAATTTACTGACAGACTTCAGTTTCATGGGCGAGTCCCCAATGTGGATATTCTAATCAAAAACCTGACCCTGGATGATACAGGACCGTACTGGTGCGTGTACAAAATGAGTGGCAGGAACTATGAGCTCAAAACCTCAAGAGGCAATGGGTCTGTGCTGCTGGTGGTGACAGGTGCGTCTGAACAGTTTATTTATGCTTCTGCAAAACTTACTGAGCTGAAAGTTTTCCACCGGACATTTATGTTATACAAAAACCATGTAAGAGTTCAACATGTGCTTTACAACAAAATACACCAAAGTATTGTAGAGGAAGATGTAGAATTAGTCACACATGTGATCCATTAATCAATATCAGACTGTTTATATTTATTGTTATTTATATTAGAGGCAGAAAGTGTTTCATTTCATTTTTAAACAGACTGGTGTTACAGAAATGGAGCGTTTCTGCTTTTGTGTGGCTCTAAATGTGATTTCTCTGAATTATTTATTTATTTTTTTAAATTTGTGATGTCAGAACAGAAAATATACAGATGGAGGGAAAATTCCTAATGAAACAGAAAAATTTACAACTTTACAGTCAAAACAATTTAATAATCGTTGAATATAATTTTTAGAAAGCGGATCAGCAGCAGATGATCCGCTTTCTAAAGCGGATCATCATGGGTGCATTGGGCAGTCCCAGGGTGACCTGGTCCTGGTCTCTGTGGTCATCTGTGCTGCTGTGCTCATTGTCGTCCTCACGGTCTTCCTCGTATGGATCATCATCAAGGTATGTGCTTTGATGTAACAGCATCTGTGTGTGTGTGTGACCTGTAAATGTTAAAACATCATGAGTCGTATAATCATAAAACTCTTTAGAAATTGTATTGTTACAAAGATGAAGAGAGACTGAAATCTCAACAACAACAAGCTCCACAAAATTCAGCGAATAATAATCAAATCGCTTAACGTGACCTGCAAATAACAGTCGGCATTGTCTTTTTCCTCCCAGACCAAGCCTTTGCGCAGCACAGTGAAAAAAAGACAAGTCCCGGTCAACGACGTTTATGAGGATATGCGCGGCACAATCAGGCGCTGAAGAGTTTACAGAGCCGACGCCAAACTCCGTGAACTCTCGGCATCACTGTGGTGTAAGCTCGGTCTGTTCTCACGCTTCATGCCCTGTGTGGGTGTCTGTTAAAGAGCAACAGTGAGGTAAAATGGTGCAACACAAAAACACTTGCTCTGTAGATTATTTGTAATCTTTATAAGAGGATTGTCAACATTGAGGCTTGTCAGTGGTATGTTGGGATGTACCCAGACGGAGGCGGAGAGTTTTTTTGTTTTGTTTGCAACTGTAAATATGTTAATCTTTGTTGTCAGTTTTTCAAAAACTTTGCTTTTTTTACTAAACTTTTTTAAAAAATATATAATTTAATGCAATATGTGATGTCTTTGGGGGGTACAGTCGCTGCAGCGTGAGGCAGGGTGGGTGGGACATTCACTTGGGGTGGGGTGGACTGAATGAATTGAATTTGTATGTGTTTGTGTACATGTGTTGATTTTTCCAGTATCTGAAGAGGGAAATAAGCCAGAAAACAGTTAGTGTAAATGAAGACACGAATGTCTTGTAAAATACTGTGTATTTTCATCTTAATAAACTATCTGCCATCCATATGAATCTAGTTAGTTTTTATTTATTTTTAGTAAGACGTGGCACTGAGATTACTACAGCAGTACAAACT